TACCTGTGGCCGTGACTTTGAGGGTTGCAGCGGGAAAAACCTGTCTCTTATACACATCTAGATGTGGGGGGGGGAACTTTTTTAGGCTTCAAATTTCTCGAAATGATTTTTTTGGGGGGGCCGGACTTCCCAAAGTTCGACCCCCTCACGTTCGGGGGGGTAGCCCTGTATGTGTGACAATAAATATAGTCAAACAGAGCTGCCTGGTAAACTGTAGGCAGAGAGGAATAAGAGGAGGGGCTGTGGAAAACTGTTTCGTCAGAGTTTCACCAACTATAGATGTCGTCAACCAGACGTATATTGTCACAAAGTTATCAGAGTGCAAAAGCGAAAAAAAACAAAAGGAAACAAAAAAGATATCAATTCATTTTTTATCTTCTTACTTACAACTCCCCCTGTTCAGAACCTCTTGCGTACAAGGCCTTTCAAGTCGCACATGGCAGATTGTAGTCATGGGGGGACGGGGATGGAGGGGGGATGAAGGCTGTGTGGGAGAGAGGGTGGCGTTGCAGGATGCATATAGCAGGTGAGTGATAATGAGGATGCTGTGCTTTCGTGACAGAGAGTGGTAATGAGCAAAACTGCAGCAGTGCAAGTTCACCCCTGAAAGATAAAAGCCATTGTTGCTAGGTGAGACCGAGGTGTGTTCGCACAGGGAGAGGGGAGTGGGGGTGTCGAGCGATAAAAAAGAGTAGACAGGACAGGACAGTTCACTGGATGAACTCCACCTAGTTTCCATATTCACCATGGACTGTGTGCACTGCCACCAACACTTTGTCTTGTCCCAGTCGCATCAGGGGAAGTGGTTGCTGCGATTGCTGCCTCCCAAGAATACATCAGTGTAACCTCGCCAAGTCACCGCAATTTCCGTGCTCTGGTTGGCCCTTATCCCGTTTCTCTGATATTCTGAACCTTGCACAGAAATTACCAGTGGTGAAAACACAGCCCTCACTGCCAGATCCTAGGAACTGGGGAACGTCTCTCTTGGATACATAATATTCAACCATATTTTAGAATTAGGAATACAAGTGGATCCAGGCCCAATTTCGCCTATACACGGCAGGATCAGATTGGGCAGGCCCTTGTGGGACAGACGATACTGTGCGGACTGGATGGGACCCTGAACCACTCACCACATGCACAAAAAAGGAGTAATGCGGTGGTGTATGCTTCCACGTTGTAGTTGAAGATTCATTTTCGTTTTTGCACATTTTTTTACCAGCGGAGTAAAGCGCTATCCAAGTTGGCCCAAACCGCGCTCTAAGAAAAAATAATTTAAAAGAGTGCTCCTATTGGCCTGGCTCCACTACTCACCACATCCACAAAAGACCCAAAATATGGCGGCATATCTTTCCTCACTGCAGCGGAATATACATTTTCATTTTGCATGTTTGGTGAATAGTGGGTCAAGGCCCTATGTACTTCTATGCATGGGCCTCAGTCCGCTAAGTATTGGAACATGGCCCTCTCTCCGCTACGTATTGCAACATGGGTCTCGAACATCAGCCTCGCTCCACTACTCGCGACTTGCACAAAAGACCTTGCATCTGTCCAAGCATTCCGGCGATGTATCTTTCCATGCTCCAGCGAAAGATCAGGGCCGTGTATCTTTCCATGCTCGGAGGACTTGGGCAGTGTATCTTTCAATGCTCCAGCTGAAGATTTAGGCGGTGTATGAGCCTAGAGGAAAGCGCGGCATGAAAAGAATGGGGCCAAGATTGAGGAACGACACGTGGGTCCACTACTCAATTCATGCACAAAAGACCAAAAAAATGGCAGTGTATCTGTCCATGCTCCAGTGGAAGACTCGTTCTCATTTTGCACATATCGTGAGTGGTGGAGCGTACTTCTATCTGAGCACGGGCCGGCACGCCCCAGCCCCAGCACCGAGGAAAGTGCCAAACAATAGAAAAACAGGCGAACGGAAACGACACGCCCAGCAAAAGCAGGGAAAGTGCACAAAATCTATGAATGAAAAAAAAAAGAAAAAAAAGACTGCCGTCCAGACTCGAACGCATGAGTCGGCGTGACAAACAAAAAGAAAAAAGCGACGGCCCCAATTATTTTTTCAGTTACTCACAGGAATCTCAGCCCTGCTGCTGCGACGGCCGGAGTCTCCGAGGGACCATGAGGCAGGCCTCCCATTTTCCTGCTGGTTTGCCCGTGGCACCGCACACGGGACTCCACCCCCGGTTTCTCCTGGGCCCGGGGGAAGCGTCACAGGACTGCTTCTCTGATATTCTGAATCTTGCACAGAGACTATCAGTGGTGAAAACACAGCCCTCACCGCCAGATCTTGGGAACTGGGGAACATCTCTCTTGCATATATAATATTCAATCGTCCTTTTAAGTGAGGAAAGTATAACGATGAAAAAAAAAGAAAAAAAAAGGAATAAGTATAACGATGAGGGGCCCTTAAAGAGGCCACTTGGTAAGACCACTCAAACTGTCAAATAAGGGAGCACAAATTTGTAACATATGTGTCTGCTTCTCTTGGGTGGTTTCAACAACTTTTTAGTTGGTTGCAAGGGACCTGACTGTCCACAACTTGCCAGAGTGTATCACAATGCATGCCACATTACCAATCACACAGATTATGAACCATTACACAGCACAAAGTAGAGATGAAAAGTGAACCAAGATGCGCAGCTTATATTATCTCCAACACATTATAAGAGTATCTCAAGTTCAAGAACCAACAGTGCGATATGTCTCTCCTTCTCATACAACCACAATGTGGGGCCTGACTCAGTCAGCGCCACCTCTCAGTAACAAGTTAAACGCAGAAGAGGTCTGTCTCCACCATAGCCAACTTTGTATACCTGCCCCTTCTCTCTCTCCCTCTCTCCCTCAAGATCTCTGTCTCAGCTCTCTTCTCTCATCATGCATGCACACTCCTACGAGAATCTACCTTGAATGCTACTCACTGAAGACTAAGTACTAACCCTCTAACTACATTAACTAGTTGGGGCAGCTATGGCTGCTACTTGCAAACCAGCGCCCAGCCTTCTTCCTCTCTTAGCGCAGCTTCTCCTGTCAGCGCTCACCCAGCCAGCCAGCGCACAAGTGCCTTCAGCACTTCCACGCCAGAATGCCACTGGGGATCTGTCCTCAAGGGAGGCTGGCCTGCTTCTTTATACTGCTGGCCTCCCTTTGCGAGGTCTGCATTGGCACCTTTGGGCGTTCCTCAGTCCCAGACCTCTGCATGGTGTGTGTCCCAGTACTTTCCCTTCAGGGTCTGCTGCTGCTGCGGCCATCTGGCCTGAATTTCGGACTAGATGTCTGAATTTAGACTCTCCCTTTGATTTGAATCTTGACTGGGACTTTATCCTTTGGACTTCCTTTGAACAGACACACCTACTGCTTGGACAGACACACATACTGCACGAACAGACACATCTACTGCTCGAACAGACACATCTATTGCTCGAACAGACATGACCTGCACACCCCCTGGATGAACAGATGTGACTCCCATATCTGAATATTACAACTGTTCGCCCAGGGACACAACTGTGACCTTTAGCATTGAATTTTACTTCAGTTGGGATGTGACTTTTGACCCAGAGAACATGCCTGTTGATCTGCTTTTCACGAGTTGGGGCTCTGGGCGAGTGACCCCACTGTGCTGCACTCGTCAGTCAGGGGCTGAATCGGGTAAAGGCCCTTTTAGGTTCTTAGTACTTACGTCTCTTTCGAGATGAATAAAGAGTAAAGTCCAAGTAAACAGAATAAAATCCAATTCTAGTCAAAATGAAATGAAGTCCCAAAGACCTATGATAGTAACAAATATGGTTAACCCGATTAACATAACAAAAGCATAATGGTACACAAAGCCGCAGACACTCAGCATTTTGTGCCACTCCACCCACCCACCCACCCTTGCCCTCTCACAGACTCACTCACATTGAAATGCAGAGTCTGACACAAGTGTTCCATTCGCTCAAACAATACAACGCTACAAAGAGAAAGCAAGGGAAGGGAAAAAATGAGAGAACGCAAACGAAAATGAGACATGCATCTGGTTGAATCGTAAGAAAGGAAACTTACGGAGAACAGTAAGGATAGCTATCGTTGCTGAGTGTCCCCTCCACACAGTAGCTTCCCAGTGGACATGCTGCACCAATTGAAAAGTCGATTAAAGCTAAGAAACAAACAAGCGTTTACAACACGAGTACATGGCCTCAGGCAACTTGAGAATGATGGGCTCAATCCAAAAAATTCGGAGGCTCTGGACAACCGGACAAAAATGGCCAGTCACAACAAACACGAAAATGTGCCTGTGGCGGTTCGGGCTTCTTTTTTATGCCCAGTGGGGGGCAAAAGAAGCTCGGAGATACTGGCCAGTTGAGGGGGAACATTCTATTTATCAAAAGATAAAATGTCTTTCAACAAGGTCACGAGCAAGACGACGCAGCAGGATTGCATTCCTGATAGCGCGAATGACTTTCAAAACGAAACAAGACAAGTTCAGATGGACTTCCAAAACAAACAAAACAAGAAAAGGCCAATCGGACTTGATGGGAAGCATTGATTGGTGTCGGGGGAGAACTTCACACAGGATGAACGTAGACAATATTATAAGACATCTTGGGGGGCAGGGCACTTTCACTCTCACACCATTGATGCATACTTGGAATAATGCAAGTGATGCAATGGAGCCAAAGGATCAGCGAAGTGATGATAAGGACTCGAATCAGCATCAGCTAAGCATCAACAGACAATTGTAATGACCCGCCAAAAACACAGACTGAGAACACTGCTGATTTCTGGGATTTGCAGCTGGAATGAATGCCTTGCTGAGATTCCCGCATTTTGCTGTGATTTCCATGTCTGTGTGTGTGTGTGTGCCTGCTGGTTTGCATGCCTGTCTGAGTGCTTGTTGGCTGAGTGTGTGTGTGACCCGCAAGGGTGCTTGTTGGTTGAAAGGCCCCGCAGGGCCGGTACTTACCTGTGGCCGTGACTTTGAGGGTTGCAGCGGGNTGAGTGTGTGTGTGACCCGCAAGGGTGCTTGTTGGTTGAAAGGCCCCGCAGGGCCGGTACTTACCTGTGGCCGTGACTTTGAGGGTTGCAGCGGGGAAAACACTCAAGTAGCGGGGGTAGGCCCGCGACACTTAGAGCAGCGGGGAAAAACACTCAAGTAGCAGGTAGGCCGGTACCACTCAAGTAGTGGTAGGAGTGTTGGGTACTGGAGGCCGAGCAGAAGAAGAGAAAAAGTTGGCATTTTTGGAGGCCCAGTAGCGGCAGGATAGAGGTAGGCCGGTACCAGTCCAAGTAGCCCGGGTCTAGGGCCTGTCCGGACGATAGCAGAGCCTGCAATGATGTTTCCCTCCGAAAGGGAGGAGGTACCGGTTGCTGGGAGGCCACTCGGCCTAGGAAGTCACCGCCCAAGAGGCCAGTAGGCCGCTATATCTTCGGGAGGAGCAAGTAGCTCCTCCTCATTTGCGGTATGCAAGGATTGGCGATATGCTGCTGAGCGGAGCGCTGGGCTGGTACAGCGCTACCTGGAGGTGAAGGGCAGCCTGGACGCTCAGCCTGGCTATGGCGAGCAGCCCAGCCTGAGGAGGAGGAAGAAGGTGGCGAAGGAGGAGAGTGGCGAGGCACCTACCTGGCTATGGTGGACACCATCTTCATCACCTTGTTGGGCGCTGCATCTGGAAGGCCCCAGGTGGGGTAGTGCCACACCAAGGAAGCTCGAGGCAGAGTCAGGCATGGCGGATCAGTCAGCAGCGGCATAGCTGCTTTCGGTTGTCCTTTGGACAGGAGGGCAGGGCCCTCAGTAGTCCGTCATAGCCTAGGCATGTGAGAGGAGGAAGAAGGAGGGAATCCATAACCTATGGTGGACTTGTTGTTGTTGTTGTTGTTGTTGAGTCAGCAGTAAGAGGGAACTTCGGATATTGATTCTGGTTCATCCACTCGTTGTTATTATTATTATTTGGAAGAAGGATAAGATTGGAGAGGTTAAGGAGGAGGAGGAAGGTGGAGAGAGAAGGGGGGGGGTTGTCATTGGTCTTGCTGGTGTACATCTTCTTCCTCTTCTTCTTCTTCTTCTTCTTCTTCTTCTTCTTCTTCTTCTTCTTCTTCTTCTTCTTCTTTCCCTCTTCTCTGGTCTCTATCTCTTTGCAAGTGCTTTCATTTCTTTCGCAATTGGGTGGCATTGTCTTTCATTGTGAATTTGCACTATGGGAATGACCAGGATCGTAACACAATGTACATCCATATACATACAAAAATGCTAGGCTACCAGTTGTCCGATGGCAGGACGTCCTGGCCGGATAATCAGGGGGGTCCTGGATGTCTGGGCCCAGACAACTTCATTTTCAGCAGTTTAAAGCACGGAAAAAACGCAGAAAAAATTGGGGGGGTCTTTAATTTTATTTTTTATTTTAGATTTGATAAAGAATTTCGATGTGACCCAAAGGCAAAAGTTGTTCAGTTTATTTTTCTGCACAACTTTTTTTTTTTTTTTTTTTCGCTCTCGGGCTCTTACAGACTGCCCCGGGAGGACGCCCGACCGGTTGTCCGACCGGACAACCCCGGACGGTCAGGGGGGGGCCCGACGTTGGCCTGGTAACATAGCAAAAATGGCATAATGTAGCGCAGTGGAAGTCTAAAAGATATGACCTGACCTGTCGGACACTGACTCGACTCAGCCCACCACACATGTGAGACACAAGGGAGGGACCACGTACATGGAAGAAAGGTCCCTCCATGAGCTCGCACATAGGGAGAAACCACGGTTGAGTGGATGGAGGAAGAGTGAGACGAAGATGAAATGAAGGAGAAGACCAAGATCGTGATAGCGGTCCAAAAATAGTCTCCCTGTTGAATGTCCAATCAATCTATGCCTCTGCGATGTCGAATCAGATCCCGGGCCCCATAGCCCGACACCTCTCTCTCTCTGAGGGAAGAAGAAGAAGAGGAAGAAGGAAGGAGGACATGGACGGCAGGAGCAGGAAAAAGAAAACGTCGACCTCTCCACTGCCTCACCTGCAGGTAAATGGTGCCACGTACTAACGATCAAGGGTGTCTCTCTGTGCTGCAGGTCGCTGGCGAAGGGACCGGCTATGGCGCCCAGGTACGCTGTCTGCACCTCACAGGTATGGCCACCACCTCTCCCTCACCTCTCCGAACTCCTACGCCTCTACCTCTAGCTATAGTGCAGCACTGAGAATCGCACGCTGTTGCCCAAGGAGTGGGAACTCCTGTCTGTCCAGGAACTGGACTGCCTGCAATGCCCATGGTCTGCAATCTGGGCCGTCGGATCTGAAGTCCGATCGCTGGTCCAGATTGCAGGCCCAAGTCCTGCTCCTGGTCCTAAGCCTGAAAAACGTCCTGCCTGGGTCCCTACCGAACGTCCACGCTCTCCTGCTGATGCAGCAGGAGAACTCCACTACTGGACGGCCCCGAACCTGGCCTAGAACGGCCCAGTCACGGACCTGGCCTCTCAGAGGCCCCAAACGTGGTCCTGCTCCAAACAGGCAATACTCTGTTTGGACATACTGCAAAGTCCGAAACGACGCTCGGGAACGACAAACAGGGTCAGAAAAACATAAATAAATAAATGCTGGCTCAAAAAGAACCCGGGTGGCACAAAAACGTGCCTTGCCCACCAGGATAGCCATGGGCCGCCAGGTCGTATACGAAAACGGGTGCACGGCCTGGGGGCCTCAACAACTGTCGGGCCCCCGAAACAGGGCCAGTGTGGAGAGCTCAGCATGCAACACCATTCTGAATCCACCTGATGGCAAGAAGGGCCAAATGCGGGTGAGAAAGGCCAGTGTGAGTAGGCTCTTCACATTAATTATATGTCCAGATCTGCGCAGGGCAGCCGCGAGGGCCGGGCAGGCACGTCAGGACCCACCCAGGAAAGCCAGGTGTTCAGAAAAGAGGCAACGATCCGAGAACAAAATTTTAACTTCAGGCCAGAAAACTGTGCTTGGCCTCAGAAGTCAGAATCCACCCTTACCTTCCAATTCGATGATGGGTCACCCAGCGGGGGGATGGGGGTCATAAAACAAGCAGGGATTAAAGGGGGGTTGAAGAGGGATATCTTAGCTTTCTTTCGGTATTTTGGTTTTATCGCGAAAATTAGAAAGGAATTTTGAGGAAACCCTCAGTCAAAATTGTTTGCATCACAGTTTTACACAACAAAATTGAACAAATGCTTTTCCCAGATTTTCCTCTTTTTTTAACTTTCTTTTTTTTTTTGGCATTCTTTACTGGGGCCCCCTGCACCCCTGCCCAAACGTCACCTGGGTGGAACTCCAGGCAGACACAGATCCAGTCACCCGGGGACCAGCACAGGTTCAGACATCTTAGCATCATTTTAGTTTTGGGAGAGAGGGTCAACAGGAACAACACAAAGGAGAAATGCACAAAAGGAGTTTAAGGGCTAATCAGGGCAGTGACTTACGCAGCATACACGCCAGCCCTTCTGGACAGAAGAAACCATCGCAACATTTGCGTGGCTTTTGTTCAAAGTCCTGTCCTATGCTGTCCTCCCGATCAGGTTCCATCCCCATCAGTGTGACATTATCCTCGGCATCCGTCAAATTCAAAGCGTTGGAGGCAAATCCTGGTGAACAGCCCTTCAAGTACTTGCCCCCGTCGGTTCGATTGCAATTCTTGTTGTTTGGTATATGAGGAACCCCCAGCTCCAGGGCAATCCCGAAGTTTGGGTCTGGCAACAAGCTCTTGAAGTATATCATGGCTTCTGCAATGCTGCAAAGGGTCAACAACACTCCCTGCCCACCCTCTGCCAAGTCACAACCCCAACGAAACCACTGTCAATCTCTCTCTCTCTCTCTCTCTCTCTCTCTCTCTCTCTCTCTCTCTCTCTCTCTCTCTCTCTCTCTCT